CTCCGAGTACTTCGATTTCCCTTGCCAATCTTCATTCCACCAATTGCTCCACAATCACCCTCACCTAACATCTGGGACTGGTACAATAGGCCAGAAGTGGCCGCAGTACAAGGGACTTAGTCCCTCCTCATTAACAATAAAAAAAGGATTGTGTATAATACAGCATTAATTGGTTATTTAACAGTACTTGCAGTGGCTAAATTACATAGTTTCGAATATATGGATGATAGATGAATTAAGGATGTGGAAGGGAGATGTCGTGGCCTATTCGAGATACTCTCTCAGCCTTTGTCCCGAGGAACGGGAAAAAAGACGAAAGCCCTCAATCAGGATAGCCCGTATCCCGGCCGGGAGTCGAACCGAACACCACCAACATATGTGTTAATAGTTGTACCGCTACGCCAACCTGCTCAGCAATACAATATTATGCATATTATAACGTGTTAGTGACTAGACATAGAGCTTGGAATGATTAGTGAATTTATTGGATACCTGACATTCGCAACTTACAGCAATTACACTGTTCTGCACATACTCTAAGTCTTCCCAGTCTGTTGTGTCTTCACGTACTCTTTNCCACTGTTCTGCACTTTGTATAACATACTCTAAGTCTTCCCAGTCTGTTGTGTCTTCACGTACTCTTTGCATGGTAGTTGCTTCTGGTATTGATGATCTGGTTTACAGCTTCAGTGTTCAACAGCGCCCGCCTAATCATCGACTTCTAACCACCGAGTGTCGACTAAGCAGAACAGTATTTTGTTGCTGGTCCTCGCCAGCACAGATATTCTTGGCTTCGTGTCCCTTCAGAAATCATGACCAGTTTTTTTTCTCAAAGAAAACTTCCGTGTTTGGAAATGGGGGGTCTCCTCTTCGACGAGAAGATGTCTTGTTCCGAGTAGGGGAGTTGTATTGCAATTTTTTTAGCCTGTAATTACTTTCTGTCCGATCAAAATATGCCGCATGCTCTCAAACATCCTCAATTTATTTAACAAATTTTAAAGTGGAAATATAATGTAGGGCTACTGAAATAACTGCAGCTGACTAAATGGAAATTTTGAAGAATTTTTTTTTCAAATATTTTTTAGTATTATCCATGACTT